GGCTCTCCCCGGAAATCAGAATAACTGTTCAGAGTGATTGAAAATTCCTGTTGTCGTCAAATCCGAACCGATTCTTGTAAAAGGTACGTACGTTATATTCGTGTCGGTTTGGAATTTTTAATGCATACCGGCACATATATGTTTTTTCTAATTCCCATTTTATTGCTTTGACTGAACGTTTCTATTTTCGTTTATGATTACAATGTTATAAATAAAGTATTGTCTTTTGCGATTACTCTCTAAATTATTCTACGAACACTGCATATCTGGGTATACCTAATAACTATTGTGTTTAATATGTGTTTATTGTCTATTGCTCGTGTTATTGGGTATGATTTAAGATACCTAAGTTATCTATTCATTATATATACCTACCTAATGAGCATTACCATGCTGATACTGTTTTTCTTACGAATTTACTATTGTCATTATTGATTATTTGAGAATTTTGATTTTCATGTTTCTACGACTATAATTCAAAATAATTACATATTAACAGAATAAACTTGTTGAAATACAATTTTGCCATTTTGAATTAAATGTAAATATCACAAATGATTTACTTACGAACATTTATTTGTTTTCTGTATTAATATACTTACTCTAGTTATGTTAAAACAATTTTAATGGATATTAATATAATGTACCTTTATTTAGATAGATCTTGCACAATTTTTACTGGATAGACATTACCTATAACCAATAAAGCGTCATAAATGTATTGTCATTTTGTCACAATTTAATTGACGTGAAATTAGATTTTTTCAGATGTCTCTATTGGCATTTTTATTAGTTTTCATTACCTAGTTTATATAGTTTTATGAAAATGGATTAGGTACACTATTCGTAACTTTTGTTTTGACTTGACAGTGTAAAATGATTTCTATAATATATATATATATTTATGTTTCTTTTTAGATGTCTCTCCTACCATTTTTATTGGAGGATCTTTCACGCCCAACCGTTTACGATCAGCACTTTGGTCTGGGATTGTTAGATGACGTGTTG